AGCCTTCATTTCCAAAAGGATCATTCTTAGCCCCACCGCAGGATCTGCCCGAGACCGCCTGGAAGTTCAGCGAGTTGAACAGCTTGAATCCATGCCCCTTGGCAGAAATCAGAAGCTCTGATCTTGTGGTGGCTGCTAGCTTTATTCATACTGGAAACACAGGGTCATGTTGTACAGGTAAGCCCACATACATAGTAAACCCAATGAAGTGTTCTGTCTTCTTTGTTGTAAGTCAGGTTGGCAACCGCGGTGGGCAGTGGTGGCTCCACTGTCAAACATGCCTGCCAAGTGGGTGGGCTCTTTGGCAGTGATATCTTCAAGACTCCTGGATTTTATCAAAGAAAGGCTTTCTGTCTTTATGTATCTTTTGAGCTTTTGGTTTGTACCCAAAGGGACGCAAAGACCTGGAGCCCCGGGTATTCTGAGCATCCTGCTGTCAAGGTCTGATGAGCGTGGGATGCATGCGGCTTCATTGAAGCATGGCCTTGCGCTGCCGCTGGAGGTAAACTATGTGCAGATTCCGGTCTGCGGCGGCTACACAGATTTGGGGGAGGCCATTGTGGAGATAGTGGATTGGCCTTTCTTGCAGCCTCACTTGCTAGAATCCTGGACATATGATGTGCCAAAATTATCAGGAAATTTTTTTTACTGTTTTTTTTGTGGGTTGAAATTGTGTTCAAAAGCCTAGGATGTAGATATAGAAATGGCCAATCTAAGGTACAAGCATTGATTGATGAAGGCTTCATGCGGTTCATTTGTGATCCCACAAAGCTGGCAAGCTATTGGGCCAACCTCCTGAAGGATTTTCCCAACCACCCAGCTGGCCAGCATCCAGAAGCAGCGTTCCCTCTAAGCCTATATGGATTCTTGTTGCACTTGACCATCCAGAAACTTTTAAAGTTGTTTTCTTTTAATTCTGAACTTTGATATGTGGTTTTTCTTAACTCTCTAGCTTTGGTTCTTCTTATCTCTGAACATTGATTCCTATTTCCCTAAGTACGATTGAAATCTAAGGAGATGAAGGGTCAGCTCTCAATGCATCATGGATGACCTTCCATGTCCAGCCGGACCTTTCGCCAAGATTGTCGGATGCTGGCATCAGCCGTTTCCTTTGCACCACGATACCTTCAACGTTGTCTTGTGGCTGCATATTTCAATGTGTTTGTTTTGTTATTTTTTAAAAATGGTTAACAACCTTGGGGCTTGGCGCTACCAATGTGAGGTATTTGTATGATGAGGATGGCATCAATCTCACATTGCAAGCGGCTGCCCAGTGCATCTCTGAGTCTGTCAACCGCCTATCTGTCGATGGTGTGCGGTTGAAGGATCCCTCTACAGGTGAAGCAGTCACTGGGTGATTGATTGGCACAAGTGTTCCTAACTACGTGGGGATAGGTCTGCCTGTGTTTTTCAAAACCTGCAAACACAAACATCCTCATGACAACTTGTCAAGCCTAGGTGGGCCATTTCTATGGATATGCAGTCAACTTCAAAGGCGACTGGAAGTACCTTGTAGCCTTGTTCAACATGACCCGCAGTGCCCAACATGAAGAGGCGATGGCCTCCAAAAGCAAGCTGGATCATTGCATCGCCATCGGTCGCCATCGGTCGTCAAATGTGCATTATTTTTTAAATGTATAGATTTATAATGTTTCTCAACCTGTTGGATCATATGTTTCAAAGAGCCCTGCCCCTGCAGGTCTGTTGGAAGTGTGCTGCTACCAAAGGGACTGAGGATCCCGAGATGTGCTACGTCAATCTGAGCAAGGATGCTCCGTGGCGTGTTCCTGTCCCGATGTGGAGAGTTCGGCCTGCCTTTGCAAACTTAGCAACTTGCCATGTTTTGCAAGTATACCTTTTTGTTGTGAAGTGAAGCCTCAAAGAATGCTTAAAACTAGACTTCCTACGTGTGGTGTGTTATTTAGGGGTAGGGTTCAAAAGGGTTTGGTATCCAATGCATGAGGTCGGGTTCTCGGAAACCATGGTGGCGCCTGACACGCTGCACTGCTGGCATCTTGGCACATGTCGGGATTTGATTGGATCGGTGATCCGCATCCTGGTGTCGGAACGCTATTGGCCGGGATCCAACATCAATGACCGTTTAGCCTTTGCTTCTGCATCATTGAAACGATGGGCAAAGAACCGGAAGCTGAGTGTAACCATCAAGCAATTGACGAAGAACAACCTTTCATGGGGTGAGATGTACTTTGGAAAAAATCAACAACATTTTTGGGTGTTGGAAAATTTGATATTTTCCACCATGTGTTAGTTATGATGAACGCTTTGTTATTTGAGATCAGGTACCCAGAACTACGTTGCAAGGGTTCAGACTCACGAGTGGTTTTGGGGTGGTTGAATGATGAGCTCCAAACCAAAGGCTGCAGCATGGATGATGTGGCATCTGTAACACAGCCTAGTTTGAATATTTATATGTTTGGTATCTTTCCCTGTATACTGTGGTTCAACCATGTTCAACTTTTCCAACCCAAGTTTGTCACTATACCAATCTTTGTGTTTTGGCGCCCAGGTAGTATGGCTAGCTGAATGCTGGGTCGCAATGCTGCAGAGCGCTGGCATGTTTTTGACGGCGGCGGAGGACGAGCAAAGGATGCAAATCGGGCAATTGATGCTTCGAACATATGTGAAGCTAGCGCGCTGGGCATTAGACAACAACAAAAAGTTGTTCCGTTGCCGACCGAAAGTCCATCTTCTGACCCATATGTGTGAAGACCAGAGACCGAGTAGACTCAACCCCTGTCATTGTTCATGTTGGATGGACGAGGACTTCATCAAACGTTCTATGAATTTGAAAAAGAAAGTTCATAGACGCACTGCTACCCAACGTACCCTTCAGCGGTACACACTGGCACTAGGCACAAAGTTGCGAGAAGCACAGAAGAAATACCTGTGAGAAAAACATGTACGAGTGTCAGAGTCTTTGCAAGCGACCGGGTCTGCATTTTTCGTCGAAACGTTTCGTGGAGTGAGCCTGGGGTGTGGTTAACATTTATTAACCACATAATAAAAATATCTATGTATATATATAAATATATAAGGCACAAACATGTTGTTTTAAATAGTTGCTGGCTCAAGATGGTTCATAAAGAGGAACCGTTGAAGTCAATAACGTTGACTTTGCCAAAGCCCAAAATAGCAAGAGGGAATGTTGAAGTCAATAACATTGACTTTGCCAAAGCCCAAAGTAGCGTGAAAGTGCGTGATTTTTTGGCAAACATGTCAAATGTACATCTGACACCCTTCAGGTGTACGAAAGAGGGTATGTACAAGATGATCTTGTACAAATGCATGTGTAGGCTAGCTGCGGTTCCTGGCTTAGCCGCTTGCCATCAGAAGATGCTAAAACTGCCAGTCCTTGCCATGTCATCGTCGCCACACCAGATCCATATCGATCCTGGAAAACAATTTTAGAGCAAGTCCAGTTCCATTCATGCTAGCAATGCTAGCACGGTTTTTGGCTTAGCCACTTGCCATCCAACTGCTAATTCTTGGTTCCTAGCTGCGGTTCTTGGCTTGGCCGCATGCCATCCAAATTCACAACAAGAAGATGCTGCAGAATGAGTAACCAACCTGAATGGTACTATGCAATCAGAGAGCCAAACTGTCCTGCGCATGCGTGCCTTTGCACACTTCAAGCGGAGCCTCGCAATCTTGGCCAGGAACTTTTCCATGTGTCTGCCAGAGATTGCACATGACAGCTTCTTGATCATCCCGATGGTGTCTTCTTCTGAGAAGCAATGCGAGAACCTCGAGTTCAGTCCTGAGATGCTCAAGTCCAGGGATAGAAGAACAGGTTAATTGACCCAAAAGACCACAGAAACCTCTTCCCAAAAGACCAGTGAAGCCTCTTTGAACCTGGAATTACCAGCTCAAACCTGCAAATCAAGTTCTCCTCTAGAGGAAAGACCAGTCAATGTCATCCAAAGACACACTCAGCCAAGAATCGCTCTCTCTTGGTGCGAGCCAAAACGTGGCAGAACATGTGCGCCTTTGGCTTCAAGAACCAGCACTGCAGCCCCATCCTCACAACTGACTCAACAATGGCGAAGGGACCTTGAGGTCTCAAATGGCCCTTCAGGTCTCAAGGGGCCGTTGAAGTCTTTAAGATAAAGGAAAATTCGACGCCCCCCCCTCAACGGAAGTCCTGCTGGCTATTTTGAGGCAGCTGATGTGGTGGTGCAGAAAGCGCTTCCCAGCACTGTGGATGGCATCAGCCTGATCCTGCGTCCTGAGCAATCAAAGTGATCTCTGATAAGTTCTGGCATCATTGATGCCTACATGTGTGCTCTTGAATCTTTGAAGACAATGCCTACCACATCCTACCACAGTTCTTGGCTTAGCCACCTGCTATTTGGTGTGCTTGAATGGAAGTTTTTAACATCACCCAAAAAGGCCACCCAATCAGTGAAAGAACATTGGAACTGAACATGTCCTGCCACCCCCCCACCACTTCAGGCTATGGTGCAAGAACCGTCCAGATCTCTCACAAAGGCCAAACCACTCACAAAGAGCTTGCCTTGGGCAAGGAGAGAATGAGGTTGGCAACATCATCTCAGGAACAGACCGGATGGTCGAAACCCAAAGCAGGGTCTCGTGGTGCCATATGATCAACCAGCTAATTGGAACAGTCACTGGAACTTTCTCTGGCTCCATCCAAAGGTCTGTGGACCATCCCCTAGGGCTCCTGGCCCACCTCCTGAGAAGGTGGTTGGGATGGGTTTTGGGGGGTCTAACCAGCCCCAGCTGGCAAATTCATTTTGAAGACTAAGTGACGAAGCCAGTGGATTCACCACCAGCAAGGGGTCATCTGGCCACATGCGGTTGCCAGCCTGGATCTCCGCCTGAAGCCACTTGCCCAGTGTTCGGTCCTGAAGCAGGTGAGTCCAATATGGACCTGTCTAGGTGGAGGTGGTCTACCCTGACCCTGATCCAGCTGTTCATGTCCAGTGGAAATTAGCAGGGAGATCTGCATCCCTCCAGTTTTACCAAGTATCATCACCTGGACCTGGCAGGTCCCTCATGGCTGCCTTTAGGGCAGAATCGTGCAGCCACTCCAACAGCACCCTGCTGTTCCAGGCTTTCGCCACAAAGTAGGAGCCGTGACAAAGCTTGTCAACCTGGGTTTGATGCTCTGCCGTTGTCTGATGGACTCAAGTTTCCTCATAAAGACATAGGGTGACCTGTCCCATGCAGCAGAAAAATCTGTCCCTACAGGTCTAAGACCTTAAGCTTACTGTATGTTGGTCTTGCCAAAACACTATTCAATGAGGGGTCAGGTTGCCAACTTTGTCTTTCGACCTGTAGGGGTGCAAATGCAAAACAGGAACCTGCCCTGCTCTGAAGCGGCGCTGGGAGGTCCTCACCTGCAAGGCCCTCCTCCATGCAGTGAAGTCACTGAAGGCACTGAGGAGGCATTGTTCCAGTGCAGCTGGCTCACCGAAGAAGCCTCCTCGCACCAGTGTCATGAGCAGTGCCCCGTTGACCGTGAAGCAAAGCCCAAGGTTCACGCAGTGCATGGTGCATATCTGCACCATCCTGCAAGAGAACCCCTTCACCAAGACCAACGGCGAAGGGGAGCAACTCTCATCCAGCATTGTCGCCAGGAAATCCAGAGTTGTGACCTCCGCCCCAGTCGAGTCGAAGTCCCAAAAGGGATGATCGTGCTGAAACACTGTTGCCTTGCAATGGTGGCACACGCGATTCCCAGTGAAGCTTGGCTCAAACCTCAGGATCTTGCGCAGAAAGGGCCAGTCCCCCTTGATCTCAGCCAGAGCGAACATAGTCCGAGACACTCCAACACCATGCCATGCTGCATTGAGTCGTCCAACGACATAGGCCAGCAGTGGCCAGAGCGTGAAGCATCCAGCAATGAGGTGCGTCCTGAGGCTGAAGATCATGTAGTGACACACACGCACTTTCTTCGGCTTGAAGAGTGTGAGGGACAAGTACACGGCAGTGATGCTATCACCTTGTCTGTTCACTTGCACGTCGTCACCATAGAGAGAAACTGGGACATGTGCATCTGTTGCTGGATGCTGCTCATAGTGTTGCCTTTGCCTGCTCCAGTACTCTGCAGTCACATCACGTGGGCAGGTCAAGCCCACATCATCAACCAAGTATGCCAGGACCTCGCAGGGATCCAGAATTGGCACTGCAACATCTTCCAATGCACCAGACATAGCAAACTGTTGTGTCTGCACATAGTGTGTTTCCTGAGCTGCTGCTCCACTATGCACGGAAGCTGATACAATCTGTGGACATGTCACATTCCTTTAAGCATTTCCGTCAGGAAATCCTGAAGGCTTGTGACTGTACATTAATATATATTCATCACACCAGGAGGTAACGCCACGTGACTTTAGGACCAGGTAAAGCCCCCACTCAACTCGATAAAGACCTCAATTAAAGTCAGACCTAAAACTGACATGAGTCGATCCATCGCATCGATCGTTGGTTGGTTGGAAGGGTGGGGCAGGGAGTCACGGATGTCACAAAAACTTCAGGGAACCATATCAGAAGCCCTCCACAGAACTTCTATTCCAGAAGAATTGTCCAAATAATAATTTTAGCGCTAGCTACTATACCACAACACCTTGAAGATCCCCTCTCCTCTCCATCGATCGAATGGGATGGGTGGCTGGAGGATCGGAGGAGGGGTGGTCTCGCTGGTTGGGGGTCAATCACACCAACAATCGCTGGTTGGGGGTCAATCACACCAACAAAATGGGATCAGGGTTGGGGTTTCCCAGAAAAATTAGGCTTTAAATAGACCATGCAGTCTGTCTAAATTAAAACATGATCGTTATCAGATGACCTCGTTAAACCTGCACTTCAGACTTGCAGGGAATGGGATCACAGCTACCTGTCCAACATGGGACTAGAATCTCCTGAACCCATATACCCCTTGGTTCGGACATCGACGATCAACGATCGACTGGGATGGGTGGAGGCGGAGGGTCATGATAGTGGTCATGATAGACCATGATTAAATGTCCAAAGACCCAGAAAAATTAAAGCTCATAATAGTGACCAGATTGACCAAGCACCCTGGCCATATACAGAGGCAACTCTCCCCTACAGGTCTAGGGACTAGAATCTCCCTGAACCCATATACCCCTCGGTCCGGACATCGACGATAGACTGGGATGGGTGGAGGGCAATGATAGTGGTCATTATGGACCCTGACCCATTCGAATTCTATTTTATTTTACATATCCAGTAAGGTGAGGTCATTGACCTTCAGCACAGGCCTAAAAATTACAGTATATTAGACCTGAATCCATATCCCTGGGCACTGACATCGAGGACAGATGGGTGGAGGGTCTTTAGAATGGGACCTCTTATCACTCTGTTTTTGTACTATTTGACCCAGTGAAAGGTCTTCCCATACCCCTTCGTGCGGACATCGACGATCGATTGGGATGGGTGGAGGGTCATAAGAAAAATCTATTGGCCACCCTAGGCCCTAGGCCTATAGGGGCAAACCTGCCCTAAGGTCATTGGATAATTGGCTTTTAGCCATTGCACTGGAGATAAACTCAAAGGCAAACGGAAGGGTAGTGCACAGAAAGGGTTTTGGAAAAACCTATTCTACTAACGTCATGGAAGGCGTGTGACCTTCGTAGAACCCAAGGCTGTTCGTGGACAGTTCATGGAATGGTGGGCCAGTAGGAGAACTGACTGTAACGAAACCCCAGAAACCTTCGAGGAACTTCGTGGAAGGTATTTTTGATGCACTAACTTCATGTATCGATTTTTGCTGACCCCCTTTCTCCACAGGGACCAACTTTCAGTGAGCCCAGGCCCCAAAAAAGGGAACAGAGGGGCAAACCTGCCCTACATAAATGCATATTACACCATGGTATCGATCGGGACTCGGTCGGATTGGGTTCGAGTCGATCGGAAGAGTCGATCCGGGGTCGGGGGGGTCTGTCGGGAGTCGGTTGGTGGTTTGGGACTACTCCCAGGCAGGGCTGGGCTTGGTGGTGGGGTGGAGTGGGCTGGAGAGGGCACCCAGAACTCCTTAGAGGATAAATGATCCACCCTACGTATCCGCACCCTCAAAAAACAAGGGTTTTGAGGTCACAAACCCTTGTCACAGAGGGCTCAACCCCTTCTAAGGAGATATCAACATAAATTTAAACCTTAAACCCTCAGATCCCTGCTTCAAATTGAAAACCTGGACCACTTGTCTAAACTTGGAGTTTGAAGGCTCATGCCTCAAAAACATCCATGTTGGGGCATGTGGAATTTTCTTGAAGGATCATGCCTCGAAAACATCTGGGCATGATCCTAGAAACCTAAATCCCTCCACTCGCAGCCGACTTCGGAACCGACGTCAGGGAACGAATTCGAGCCAACGTCAAGGGTCATGAGCTCTGAGCACAATTAGCTTTTTTGGGAATGTTTTAAGGCGTCTCATGGACACTGATCCTTTTTCCATGACCCTTGAAACCAGTCGTGAAACCATCGGAGTCGACATCGATGGGTCGAGCTGAGGGTCATCACATGTTTATGCTTGATGGAGGGTTAACAGACCCTAGAAAACTTTGGGGATCACACTTCCAAGTGGACCAGAACAGGTTCTAGATCTAGATCTTGTTAAATAGTGAACCCTGATCCATTTGGTTCGAATCGAACCGATGTCACGTACCGAAGTCACGCCGTCATCAAGGGTCATGAGCTCTGAGCACAATTAAGCCATGAAACATTTTTAAGGCTTCTCATGGACACTGATCCTTTTTCCATGACCCTTGAAACCAGTCATCCAACCATCGGAGTCGAGATCGATGGGTTGAGCTGAGGGTTAGGTTCATGAAAATGTTCAAGTCCATGAGCTATACAGCTCAGATCACATGTGCATGGTTGATGGAGGGTTGACGGACCCGAGAATTTGGGTGTCACACTTCCAAGTGGACGTACTAGGTTCTAGATTATGAACCCTGATCCATTCGGGTCGAATCGAACCGATGTCGCACAACGAAGTCGAGCCGACGTCAAGGGTCATGAGCTCTGAGCAGTTTTTTCCTGGGAATAGATATGAAAAGGCTTCTCATGGACCCTGATCCTCTTTCCATGACCCTTGAAACCAGGCCTGAAACCATCGGAGTCAGGTTCATGAAAATGTTCAAGATATTTTGAGCTATATTAGAGCTCCATGTGCATGCTTGATGGAGGAGGTTCACAGGCCCAAAGAAAATTTGCTTCTTTGTGGGGGTCATACTTCCAAGTGAACCAAAATCAGGTTCTAGACCCAAATGTGAACCCCTGGTCCGTTCGATTCGATCGACGTGGGTGGAGGTGGGTCGATTGGATGGGGGAAGGTTCATATTTTGATCCCCTGTGAATGCACATGGCAATGCTACACCAAAGATGGATGTTTGGATTCCAGTACCGATTGATCAATCGGATCAAGTGAGATCCTAGACCTGCCACTTCCAGCTAAGCAGCACATGGAAGTTGTGCCCACTTCCAGAAGTCCCGTGAGCGATTCCAAGAGCTATAGGATCCAAGCTCGGAAGTCGATCTCGAGGATCGGCCATGTGAATCCTCATCGAAGCAGCTGGCCATGGATCTCACTATCCACCCTTGAACTGATCCATCCACACCAGGTGGTTTCAAAAACAGTTCCAGGTGAGCAGCCTGGTAGGCTGACAGCTGACATGGTGGGTTCACGTTACCACATGTCACAGGGATATCCAAACCAAGGGCCGAGAACCACTGTGGGTGGTTGGAAGGTGGGGGAATGGATGGGATGGGAGTACAGTGGCCCGTCCACCCCTAATTCGACCGCTTGCTGTTTTAGCCGGTCAAGCCGGTATGTTTCACCAAGCCGGATCTGGTGGATCCGTACCTACCTCATAGCAGGGTGCTACACCCTCAGGGTTGGATGGAGTGGGTGGCACAATCCCCTGAACTATGCATAAATGGCCCCTTCTTAGGACATAGGGGATTGTGCTATCTACTCTGAACCCTGTCCAAAGCTTGAGAAAAACCACTAACACACCCAACCCAGAAGTCCTGCGAAGCCAGATTGAGGGACTCCATTGCATTCTCGATCGATGACTCCTGAGCATTCATGAAAATCACCAACACATGTGGGATATTTTTTGAGAAAATGTGCACATGTACCAGCTAATGGCCCTGAACGAAGTCAAGCCGATGTCAACGGTCACCTGAACAGATTCTCATATTTAGTGGTGGTCGGAGGTCCATGACTTTAACCACTCTGGCAAGGTTCTCCATCACAAATCTTCTCCAAATAGCGCTCCACGAGGTTGGACTTCTGGGCACCTGGCACAGAAGCCAGTGAGACACACATTCCATATTGATCATCTTGGTCAGATGATCAAGGTCAGGTCAGGGGGAAGGGATACAGCTCAAGGACCTCATTAATGGACTGGGTCATCCAGTGATGTAATGATCAAAAATGATGTGAAAGGGAGACCCCCTGATTGAACAGTTCACCAAACAGATGCACCTGGTTTTATCCACTTTCCTCCCAACTGCACCCGCCGACTTGTTTCCCGCATGGCGATCCTGGAGTCCTCTTGCTCCACACACGTGGCCCTGCAGCATTCAGCTCGCATTTGAGTCAGCCCTCCTGCCACCTGGTAACATTGGTGTATTCTAAACAGGTTTGGGTGGCCCCATGTGACTCATGCACATTGGCTGCAAGGATATCTATCTATGGTGATGTGATCACCGTACTCTATCTATCTATGGTGATGTGATCACCGTACTCTGCGATGGTCCACTGTGACCCAACTTTTGAAATAACTAGAACATGAACAAGGTGCCTCAGGTGTACTCCTCAAAATTGGTACCATCCAGAGGTAATTGGAAATGGTTTCGGAACATGTTTTACTGGAAGGAACACAGCCATGGCCCAGTGGATCTTTTGAGACGTGGTAATTTGAACCCACCACGTCAGCTGTCAGTCAAACAAGCTGCCCACCACCTGTACCTTGAAATGTGTTGAATACATAACCATCGATATCCATATCACCAGCAACTGTGGGTGGGCAGCATGGATCAGATGCGCTACCTACCTACTTCATTCGGTTGACCTTCTTCTTGAGGTCATCATAGGATGTGCAAGCAGTCGACAGCTCCTTCTCCAAGTCGTCAGTCTTGCTGTCATCCTGGGGAGATAGGTGACACACATGCAACTTACCCCCAGACACATACAGGCCGCAGGCCCTACAAGTCTAAGGACCCTGAAAACTCCAAAGAACCAGGACCAAGTACGACCACATTAATGCTTAATGAGGTGGACGGAAGGGGGAACAGATACTTTTTTATGAACACCACTCCTGGTTCTCATCCAAAGCAGCTTGCAGTGCTGTGCGCTTCGAGGCGATGTCAGCTGCAATCAGCTTCGTGTCCTTGATGAACGCATCTCGGACATTGGATGGCCTTGGAGCCAAGGATTGGGATTGGGATCAGGGCCCTGAGCAGGAATATGCAGCAAATCCCCCTTCATGCGCATGAGATTCACAAGTTCAAAAGGACATCAACAAATCCAAGCAAATGTCCAAGTATTTTTAAGCAGAAGGGATATTGATGCTTTGTTGTTCAGTCTTGGACCCTCTAGACACTGCAAACAGTCAAGCTCCGTTCTGAACATGCCGAGAACCATCAAAAAAACGGACACACTTATCGCCGATGAAGCGACTAAAATCCACCCAGAAGATGACCCATGTCCATTAATCATGTGGGAGTTCATGTGGGCCAGTGGGTTGAACAGCCAAGATACACACCCTGCCACTGCGATTCCAGGCTGTTGGAATCCTTGCACTTGTTTGACGCTTTGTCGATGGCCTCCAAAGAAAGGTAGAGGGTAGATCAGATGGAAGGGTTAGTCCACCATTCTGACATCATGAACATGCCCTGAAATAAGCAACACAACATTTGAGGCCTTCTTTGCTTTTGCCAACTTTTGTTTTTTGGCTTTCTCATCGGTTTCCTTTCTCTCACGTGCAGCCTTTTCTTCAGCAGTTTCTTCCCTCTTGCGCTTTGGATCCTCTGGGCCCTGGCCACTGTTTCAAGTCTAGTTGCCCAGGAAAACTTAATCCAGAAAAGAAATATAGTACAGTGGGATTACAACCTCACTAGCAGAGGACACACCCTGCAAGTCCGAAGTGCAGGTTTAACAAGGTCATCTGAGAACGATCAAGTTTTACAAAAAGGGTCTGTCCTTCGTCTTTTCCTTCTTTCCCTTACCTGGCTTCTCTTCCTTGTTCTTGGCATCTTTCTCTTTCTTCTTTGGTGCAGTTTCTTTTCCTTTCTTCTCTTTCTTCGATGCCTTTGCCTTTTTGCCTTTCTTGCCTGAGGTGAACAAAAGACAAAGGAAACATGACCTTCGCACCTTGGACGATGGGCACTGGTGGATGCAGGATCTGGGATGGAAAAATAACGGGTGAGGCCATAGCATGTTAAACCCACACAACCCACAGTACTGCCATGTGGGACCAGGTGACCCTCAACATCCCATCCATGCTACGAAAAGCCCAGATGCGCTTGCCATCATCACTAGACCCCGATGAACTTGATGAAGATGAGGATTCACATGTGCTCAGCAAATTGCACATCTCCACAGAAGTGCCATCCTCCACTGATGAATCGTCCAACACCAAGAATTGGAGGACTTCCTGCGATGAAACAGGCAGTCATGAATATTCAAACCCTGCAAGCCTGATCTCTGAGTAGTGCTTTTGTATGACCAACTGCAGGTCATTGACCTATATATAACCAAAAATATTATGCAACTGCAGTCTCCCCAGTATGGTGCCCATGACTGCTGCGGTCCTTCACCGCTGGATCCACATCCGGGTGTTGCCGCACTTCGGTCTCTCCTTCGTGTTGGGGGTGCACAGACATGCAATAATATATATTCGATCATGTGGTTGGATGAACCGCTAGGGCTTATATATGCACAGTACTAATTAGCACTGGCCCATCATTTGTGTTTTACATGTATTTGATTTTATACATGCAGACTAGTCTCGGAGAGTGGGATCTGCCAACTTTCGGTCACAGATGGAATCAGCCAACTCTTTGCCCCACCTCAGGTTGAACGGTATCCCAGTCATAGCCAAAAAACAGCAAACAGGGTGGACATAGCATGATCCCACAAATTGGGACCAAGTACTGGCCTATAATATTTGAGGAAGCATTAGTTAACGTTGTTTGCTGGGTGGTTCTGGCACCACATGTACTACAGACAAGGAACCTGGCTTCCACTTCTGATCTCAGCATCCATCTCCTTTTGCCGGTGTAAGCCTCATACTGCTTCTGGGACAAGGAGGTCACCATTTTGGAGTTCTTCCAATTCTGCCCTGACATGAGCCACTCCTCGAACAAAGGGCTCAGGCATCCATTCGCTGAACACCTCTTCCCCAGTTTTTTCACCAATGGTGGTGCTGTCTTGCCTCGGCCGGGAGAGTCCGTGCCCAGGATCAGATGGTGGCAAGAAAGGGCCCCCCTACCAGCAGAATACAAACGCTGGTAGGGGGGCCCTTAAAGCAAAAAATCAAACAGTTGATCCTCGGCTTAACCGGAGGGCCATCCGGAGGGACATGGAGGATGGCTCTTGGAATTCTAGTTCCACCCAGGTCGGGGCTTTAGCTCCTGTTCAAACAAGAGATTAACTAACACAGGGCTATATATATATATATATATAAGTCCAATCTTGACCAGGGGAGCTTTAATATCAAGAATCCCAAGCAACATGACAGAACCTGCAAGTTTGAAGATCCTGCAAGTCCAAAGTCCTGGTTTAACGAGGTCAAGCTACATTCAAAGACAGAGCGCCAAAATCGCATGTACTCAGCCCGTTTGGCTTTACGCTTTCTCTCCTTCTCAGAGAGCCTCTCCTCTTCTGTTTGGTCGCCTGCCTGGCCATTCTCACCATCCTTGGCAACCTGCTCCTTTGCTTCTCGCAAAGGCTGGGAAGGTGGTGGCATTGTGGATGCACCTGTCTTCTGGTATGGAGGCTCTGCCGGTTTTGCCGGTTTGAGAGCTTGAGGGACACCTGCTGGTGCCGGTGCCGGCTCCGGCACTGCTGTGGCCTGTGGCTCTGGGATCTTGGCGGTTTGCACCTCTGCTGGTGCTGGTGCCACCTGTGGCTCTGGTGCCTTGGCTG